ATATGATTTCTTAGGAGAGCTTGGCCTCCCCTTATACACATCAGAGAAGTCACTTCTAGGAAGGTCTCTTTATTATTGGTGACAGAATTGGAAATAGCAGATCTGATCAAGCAGGTAGCAAGGGTTCCCTGCCCTGGCTTCCCCTAATGAACCCAACCCCAAGGACCTCCCACAGTCCCCAGGAACCATGAGACTTGAAAACGGCAGACCATCTCTGGCTGGAGAGCTGGAAAGGACCTAACCAGTGGCTGGCTAAGTCGCCTCTGAAAGGGGGAGTCTGCGCTGAGTGGGGCCTGGGAAATCCAGGCCGCAGGAGCCCATCACAGTCTGGTTGCCAAGACCAAAGCTTCTGAGCCCTCAAGAAGCCACACTCAGGAGACTATTTGCTGGTGACTGTGGCTGCTCTGTGTCTGGGAACCCTCTGTTACTGCTTCTGAGCCTCATGCTGGTCCCTGGAGACCAAATCAGGGCCTCATCCCCCCCCCCACCCGCCCCTTAAATGTGCCTGTTCCCGAGGCCCTGGCTCCCACCCTTCCATCTGCTCTCCTGGGCAAGCTCCTCCACTCTGGAGGCTCTGGCTCTGCTCATGCTTCCAGGCTGTCTCTCCTGCCCAGAGCCCAGCACCCTGGACCCATCTGCTTCACAGGCCTCTACTGGGGAACCCACAGGTGCCCCACACTCAGCGCAGCCACCCTGAGCCCGTCCCTCAGCTCATCCCCTCGCGTACTCCCTCCTCTGCGAATGGCATCACCAGCCACCCCAGCTCCTGAGCTAGAATTAGGAGTCATCCAACGCACAGTCATCCTCGACACCTCCCTCTCACCCCCACGTGGGATTGGTCATCAACTCCTATGGATTTCGTCCTCAGGAAGGAGCCACAGTGTACCCTCCCATCTGCCCCCACTGATAGCAAACAAAGCGGAACCCAGCGCCTCTCTGACTCTAGCAGCTGTTCCCTGGGGAGCTTCCCTACCCCACCACTTAGCCCCCAGTCTACCTTCCACACCTCTACTACTGAAAAGACCTTTCTAGCTGAATTAGAAACCCTTCCATGGCTCCCTGTTGCCCTCAGAAAAAGGCTGACGCCTTCATGTAGCCTACGAGGTCCTGCCTGTCTTGGCCTCCATTTCCTGTCACATTTCCAATAAGCCCAACATTGCTTCAGACCCTAACTGCCCCCGCTGGCCAGCTAAAGCTTTTTGCTTCATCCCACAAGATTTTTTTTTTCTATCCTGTCTTATCAAAATCCTTTATTTTCTTCCTGGTCCACCTCCTCTGAGAAGTCTTCCTTCCTGATCCTTTCATCAGTAGGTGGTGACCCGAGCCACTCTTCATTTTCCCTGCCACTTGTCTCTGTGGCGTCCATCTACTTCTACTCACTGACCCCTCCCCTGGACTTGGAGCTTCACGAGGGCAAGGGCTGCTCTCCATCTCTGTGCACTCAGCCCCGTACATGGAGCTATCGGCCACAAACCTGGGCTGTCCTAGGGTGGCAGCTCTGTCCCCGAGCCTGTGCCCCACTGCACCCCAACTACTTTCTCCCAGAGCCTTCCCACTGCCTGCATCTCTCCATACTTCCCTCCTACCTGCTGCCCTCAGCTCAGAGGGGCCCTGGGGGTGCCTCAGGTCGGGGAAGGGGCGGCATCCATGTATCCCAGGCCTGCATGCTCCCAAGAGTCGACACCGTGGGCCGTGGCCCTGGGCCGTGGTCCTCCACCCCCGTGCTGAGCAGCCTCTCTGATTTTAATGCGGGCCTCAGTGCTTCAGTGAAAGCCGGCATGGGAAGTTGCTAATAATGGCACTAAAATAAAATATGCTACATCTGTTATGGGTAGCAGAACAAAATTAGCTGCTCACACCTCTGACATCCAAGATGTCTTAACTTAAAATACTCCTTGGCTTACTTTACATCATTTACTGATTATATTTAAAAGAAATACAATTTTGCAATTACTGGTTCTTTCCAGTGTGTTATCTATGCATCATTTTCCTTTTATGTTTATATATTTCTCCTTCATTAGTGCAGTCTGAAGGGTGATTAGGATTCTTCAAACATTTTACAGAGGTTAAACGTTGATTAAGATTTAATTATTACTGTAAATAGCTTGGAATGACATATGGTGCAAAAGCCTGACATATGTGCATTTGAATAAATGAAGTGCTATTTCCCAGGATGCCTCAGTAGCTGTTTAACAGCTTTCCCGAAGGGTTATGTTACACCTCATGGTAAGATTGCTGGGATGTTATATTTTGTTGGTTTTTGCAGCTGAAAGCTAAGAACAGTTTTCCAGTTTTTTAAAAACATTGAATATTTTAAATACCTAAATTGTTTTGCACAAATTTTTGCTAATTTGTCTAACTAGGTTAAACATTTTCAAAAGCATTTAGATTTTTAAGCGTGGGCGCTGTGCATTGTGTCAGTGGCAGTGTAGGGATAAGGGGAGCCGATGGAGTGGAGGGGACTCGGGGTGGAGGGGACTCGCGCCAGCAGGGGTAGGGAGGGAGGAGGTGGCTTGAGGCGAGGGATGGGGATGAGGCCTGGGTCCTGAGCCTAGCTCTTTTTATCTGTTTGGCCATACCAAGTAAAGCATTGGTACTGATGTATCAGGAAGAACGGGGGAAAGGGTCTCCCTTTCCCAGGATCCCCACCACAGTCACCAGCTCCAGTCCTTACACAAACTTTCTCTTGTCTGGACCTTGACCTGCGTAGCCTGGTCTTGACTGAGCTCTCTGGAGGCCAGCCTCATCTGTGCCACCTTCTTCCTTCTTCCCAGGGTTGCCATGTCTTGGCATACTGCAGGTGCCAAGGACCAAGTTCAGCGTAGCTAAGTCGTGCAGACCTGATGCTGCTGTGCCCCTGCCCGGGGCAGGTGTCGGGCTGGGCCTCCTGACTGATGGAGCATCTTCCTCCCCGGCCCCATTAGCCTGGGCCAACACACTGTACTGGTTCAGTCCCTGGAGCCAAAGACCAGCATCTGGTCTCCAGGGAGACCCCATCTCACAGTGCCAGTACCGCTTTTGTTTTCATGCATTTGTTCAAAAGAGATACCAGCACTGTGCTAGGCCCTGAAGACGCTGGAGTGCATCAGGCCTGCACATCCACTGCCTTAGGGAACTTGTGATCTCATGTGGAAAGGAGGGGGGTTGAGTGACTATCAGCCCCCAAACAATGTGGTATCACTTGGATATGAGAAGTGTAGGAGGCTGCAGGGCCAAGGGGTGACATACTCAAACTGAACAATAAAACATGTCTACAGCTGAACCATGAAAGTCACTGAAGATGGGGGCAGATGTGGTGGAGCTGGGAATGGGGTGGGAGGGCAGCTCTGGCAGAGACCGATCAGGCAGAGCTGGAACAAGAGGGGAACAGCCCAGTGTGTCCAAGGAAGTCCAGTTTAGTGCATGTGGTGCATGTTCTCTAGTATAAGGGGAAAGGTATTGAGGGGTGGGCAGGAGTGAGGAGAGTGGTGGAGTGGGAGTCTGGATGGCCCCTGAGGGCAGTAGGGATCACTGAGCCATTTTATAGTGAAGAGAGGCACTACCAGACCTGAGACTTAGAAGGCGGGCACTGGCCATGGTGGGGAATGAATTAAAATGGATGAGAACTTGGGGGAGAGAAGGAAAAGGGGTGGGGGAGGCCCCAGGGTTTTCAACCAGAATGTTATTGGGTTGTGGTGCATTTCCCCAAGAAAGGGACAAGACAACTATAGCTAGAAACACCTCAGATATGGAAATCCAGGGCAGCCTGCTAGAGCAGTCCTCAAGGACCCTGAGAAGTGACTGGTGGATGTTGTTAATAGTGGCAGTAACCTTGAAGAAGACTTTCATAGAGGGTGATGAGAACAAAAGAAGCCTGATTTGCTGTGGGTTGGGAAGTCAGTGGGAGATGAGGAGGTGAACACAACCAGGATCGACAGTTCTTTAGAGAGATATGGTTGCTGGGGAAGAGAGAGATGAGGCAGTGCAGGTGCCTGCCATGGGGAAGGGAAGTGGTGTTTAGACCAAAAGTTCTCATCAAGGACACTGATGGGCAGAAGTCAGCTGACAGCTGAGGTGGGAAGAGGAGGGCATGAGGAGGGAGCTACTACCCAGGCTGGGGTGTGGGGGAGCCTCTGACACTGCCTTTCAAGGGGGAAGGATGGGGGCACAGGTGGGCACAGGGTGGTCATAGGAAGCTGGATGGTGAGAAGCTCATGCGTCCCCTCTGGTGCCTTCTGCTTCTTTCACTGAAGTAAGAAGGCTCATGGGTGTAGGAGTGGGGGGCTGAAGGTGGTGTACTGAGGGTGAGCATCAAAAGGTAAGGATGGTGTCTGTGGAGAAAGGGAGAGGGAGTAGAGCGGGTAGTGGGGTGGGGCGATGCCATTGCAAGTTTCTGGAGGGTCCAGCTAGAGTCAGGGACAATGAATTTTGAACGGTCTGCAATGGGTAGTCATATTTAAGTACAGAAATAATAGATGCATGGTTTGGGCCTCCACAGTAGGGCTTGTACCACTCAGACCTGGAAGGACCCTTGGGCCAGGGAGAAGCTAACATACTGGCCCCTGGATCTGGGTTGGAGGAAGGAGGTCAAGACTAGGTGGAGGGCAACCTGGAGCCTCAAGTCTCTATAGTCTAAACATGGAGAGGAGCAGTGGGCCTGGGATGCTGCTATGAGGGACAACAAGGGTGGAGCTTGGCAGGTCTAGAGGGTTGTCCTAGGAGGGTGAAAAGAGTCCCAGAGATGAGGGGTGCATAGCATTCAGAGGGCAGAGTGTGGGGTGTTCACCCACGTGGATGCCCTGTGAGAAGCAAGAGGCCAGACAGGGCTGGCAGTGACCCTGAGCTCTCATGGTGCTGTCTTGCTAGAGAAGGAAGTTGTGTCACTAGGCAGGAAATATGGCTCTGGCTGGGGGTGCGGGGCAGCAGAGAGGCAGAATTATGGCCACTAGAGTCATCCTGACTGCTGCTCCAGAACCCCTTTTCCACTTTCTGTGTTTCTTCTTTCTGTTCTTTCTCCTCAGATTGAAACATCTCAGTTAGAACCTGAAATTGCTCGGGCCACAAGCAGCCGGACTGTCGTGTACAACAAGGGGCTGTGAGTGGTAGTTGGCCGGCCTGGGGACAGCACAATATCCAGGCCAGTGAAGAGTTGGGGGCAGCAAAGAGTCACACAGGCTGCACCTGCATGGAGGGGCAGGCTGGACCCCACCAGGCCTGGACCACCTGGGGGCACTCAACCCACAGTGGTAGGAGACTAACCCATTCACCGTTTAACATAGGTAGGAGAGAGGAATTCTGACACATTTCCTATATAAAAGCATCAAGTGCATTTCTGGGCCTTACGTGGGGTTGTCAAAACTCCACTCAGCACAATTATGTGTGAAGCTATAAAACTAGGAATGCCCATGGGGTAGACATAGGATTCTTCTATTCCTTCCTTTCTTCCTTCCTTTCTTTCTTTCTTTCTTTCTTTCTTTCTTTCTTTCTTTCTTTCTTTCTTTCTTTCTTTCTTTCTTTCTATCAGAATCAAGTCTGAGCCTTGGTTGAAGCAGACCAGGAGTGGCAGGCACACAGGTGTTGGGAGCTATAGTAAGCCCAGGAACTGGGTTGGTTTGGTGGCCTGGCTGGTAGATCTAGGATATTTGAGTTGCCAAACTACAGTGAAAAAGGGCAGAGAGGTGGTCTGCACTCCACAGAATGAACTAGGCCTCAGGAATTGGCTCAAGGGAGTCACGGAACCCTGGCAGACTCTGGACGATCCCACGGTCAGCAGGCTCTGAATGTGGCCAGCCCTCACCCATGCCACAGTTGTGGAAGCAGTTCCTGAGTGAAGCACATGGAGCGGTGGTCTGCCTTGGTGGGGTGCTCAATGATTTGAGGCCCCTGAGGCCCCAGCTCCAGGAAGAGAGGCCCAAGAAAGAATGAATTGTGGCAAGAATCGTGTGTCTGTGCTGGCCTCACCAGAAGATCCTCTTTCAAGTGCACGCTGGGTGTTGGGCTGAGGGTGGGCTGGAGCTGGACTCACTGCTGTCTGGAGAGTCTCCAGCCACTGAACCTGCCTGCCCCATCCACCCCATCCTGAGCAGGAGGGTCTGACACCTGAGGGTGCCAAGGCCTTATCCCTAGGACCTATCTGAGAGGAAGCATCAACCCAAGAGCAGTGGGCCTGGTTCTAGAACACAGGCTATGTGGCCTTGGGCAATCCACTGCCTTCTCTGATCGTCCGTCCCCTGCCCAGAAGCAGGGTCCTGGATCGAGGGTTTCCCCCCCCACTCTTCCAGTTCATCCTTGCCTGTTCTGCTCAGATGCCGGCCATCTCAAGCATATCCTCCACATGGACACCGGCCTGTGAAAGGAGCAGGCCCCCTTGGGATTGGCCAGCAGTTGGCCTCAGATTCTGGACTGTGCCCTTTATATGACCCCACATCCCAGGCGCACTTGACTTTTGCCAGTCATTTCACGGTTCTGGAGGAGGCCATAGCGTGGGTACCTTTGCAAGCATGGGCCAGAACTGTGTTCACCTCTCACCTCTGCAGGCTCAGAGTGCCTCGCTGCTGGCTGTTTCTCCCATTTGCAGGCAAGGGAAGAAGAGAGGGAAGCAGGAGGCAGGGTGACTCTTCATCTGAAAGGCCCAAAAGGAGGGAGTCATGGCCTTGATGAACCCCTCACCTGAATCCCGCAAGGATAGACCCTCTCAACATGCAACCCCTGGGCCTCCCTCTCCTGGTGACCCTGAGACGGATCTAGGCTGGAGATGAACATGTGTGTGTGCGCAGGGAAAGGCGTGTATGAGCTGCAAGGCTGCAGCCACGCCAGCCCCTCCACACCTTGAGGATGTGTGGTTGTGGAGAGGTGGGTCTTCTATGAGCACTGACACATGTGCCCTTGGTGGCCAGCAGCTGGCTCTGCCTGCGGGATGTTGCCCTGAGGGTCTGTCACACTCTGGAGGAGTACCCACCCCCTGCTCAGCAGGGAGAGAGGCAGATTGGCATGGAAGACAACACAGCAGGGGAGAGGGGGCCACAGAGTTGGAGGGAACAGGAATTTTGAGCCAACCCCACCATAATGTGAATGTGTCAATGACTGCCGGCTGTGCTGGTCTCTAGGCCTGGACTGGAAGCTGGGCATGTCTGGGTCCTCTCTTGAAAAGCTCATTTCAAGCTCACCCTGCCCCCTCTTATCATAGGGTTTTGTTCTTGTGCACTTTATCTTGGGCCAAAACTCTCCCCACTACCTTAATTATCCTTTCCAGGGGCCCAGCAGAGATGGGGTGTTTGCCCTCCCCCTCCATGCAGGTTGCCCCAGCCCAGCCTCATCCCCCTTCCCCATTGTGGCCTCAGTATCTCCTAAGCAATCTGATTTGTCTCTGGATGACTTTTATCATGCTCCCAAATATAATTCCAGGTGAGCCAAGGGGCTGCTTTTCACAGGGGCGCACTGGAAAAGGATGCTTACGGCTCAGGGTGATGGTGCCAAGGGGTTCAGTGGGCCATGCTGCTAAGCCCTGATCTGGCTTTAGAAAACCCCATAAATGGAAACCTGCTACTAACACCCACGCTCATCTCTGCTGAGGCCAGAGGAGAGAGGTCTCGGGGGTGGATTGATTTGTCATTGAGGAAGAGGCCAAAATTTTCCTGGCCAACACTCTTCTGGTCATTTTAAACATTCCTTCAGTCCCGGGGATGCCCTTCTCCTATCCCCAGAAAGCAATTTGAGAGTACAGGTTCCAGAAGTCAGAGATGTCAAGTCGGCCCCTGCGCCCTCTTCCCTTCCCAACTGTAAGCTGGCTTGTTTCCTGTTTGGAGCCTCTGGCCTGGAAGAAGGATAGGCTCCTGAGGAGAAGAGCCCAGGGGGGCTGCCAGCATTAGGCAGGGAGGGGTGAGGCCCCACTCAGGCCTCAGCACACCCAGGGTACGTCACAGTGTCTTTTTAACCTTCTCAAAAAATTTCTCAATCTATGTAATTTATGTAATACTAATGAGCTGTGGGCAATAAACGAAGGGTTGAAAGCATCAGAGCGTGGCTTTGTGAATCACGGTGGGAGAGCTGGGAGTATAGAAGCACAATGTGAAGGAGTGAGGGATTCATAGAAAGGCCTCTGAGGAAGGTGTTGGCCCCCAGCCTAGCACGGGCAAGGCTAGAGGGAAGGCCAAGAGGAAAATGAGGGAAAGAACAGTACACGTGAAGGTAAGAAGCTGGGCAAAGGGGGCACATTGACCCTGCCAAAGGGTCCCCTTTACAGAGTTGCTACTGAATGCTCACCAAGGTTCCCAATTCAAGGAACCAGTGCGTGAGGATTCCACTGACTCGCATGCTGTCTATACTCATGAGGCTGGAGGAGGGAGAGCCATGGTTGTGCTCACTGCCTGTGACCAGGAGGACAAGTGTCAAAAGGGGGAAGGTGGAAAGGTACTGATATCTGCAAGGTGCATGGTCCCAGTCCCGGGAATTCTGCTTTCCCAACTCCTCCATGGTCCCTTGGGCCCAGGGCTTGGCCACCTCCCAAGACCTCTGGATCCTCCTCTTCCAGGCAGCTCCCAGAGGTTCCCAAGCATCTTCCAGCCCTGCAGAGAGAAGCTGATGAAGGGTAGCAGAGAAAAACCATTACAGTTAGTGTGAGCCAGACACTAGTCAGCCCTACCATGGCCCAGCATGACTCGGTGACTTCTGGCAGCTCACTTCCCTCATTCAGCTGTTTATTCACACAGGATATTGAGTGACTTCTCTGTGGGGCACTTTCATAAATGAGCCTTGGGATCGTTATGTCACTTGCTAGCCTGTTGGAAGGACAGAGAACCCAGATAAAGCATGTAGCTAGACTCCTTTCTTGCCTGTCAGGTGTGTGTAGGTGTGCCTCCCCTCCTGGCCACTGGGCCTCCGTAGGATAGTGGGAGAGAGGACAGAGGGGGAGAGGTGGGGTCTGTTCTCAAAGTGGTACCTCCAGGCCGGGGGGCTTTTGGTCTCCAGGGAATTTGCTAAGAGCACAGGCCACAGCCCCTATAGGGCACAAATCCTTGACTCTCAGGACAGGTGCAAATCCCTTCTGGGAGCTGTTTGTTGTTTTTAGCTGTTTGGGGGCTCAGCTCCTGCCCAGCCCAGAGATCATTAACACTCCAGGAATGCAGTCTTCCCTGCCTGCCATGCCCACCCGCCTGGCCAGTAGGGCCTCCCTCCTCCAGAGAGTGCAGGATTGAACAGCTCTCCATAATTCACAGGTGAGCGGTGGATGGGAGGCAGAGGCCAAGATACCCTAGGTGCAGGCTTGGACAGCTCAGGAGAAGGATGTGTGATTTCTCTGAGCCTAGGAACAAAGAAGGAAGAACAAATCTGTAGGGAAGGTGACACAGATCCTTAGAGTTCCTGTGAGAGAACCTATAGAATCCCGGAGTTCAGATGCTGAAGTCTCAACCTCAAATATAGAATGTAACTGTATTTGGAGATAAGGACTTTAAAGAGGCAATGGTTAGGAAAGCCGGAAATCAAGGCGGTCAGGGCCATGATGAGTGGCCCTTTCCTGAGGCCTTAGGGACCTACTTATTTTCGGAACGGAGCCTCCCATCAGTCCCCTCATGCTGCTGCTGCTGCTCCTGCCATCTCACCCATTCCTTGGCCACTGGTTAACCCCCCAGACAGCAATGTCTCAGCCACTCCCCCAGAGCCTAACCCCTACAGGGCCACCCTTCTCTTCAGTACCAAGTAGCCCTTAGGCCAGTGGCCAACAAGTGTTCTTTCTCTATCCTGCACCACGCCAGCTCCTGGCAGCTTGAGCCTGCCTCCTTCCCGAGAAAGACGCCTCCCCTCAGCCAAAACAAGAATCTTGGCCTTATGGAGGAGTGAAGAGATGGAAAGAAGAGAACAAAAAGGGGAGGAGGAGGTGACAAATGGACAGACCTTCCTTGGAGACTTATACAAATATGCCATCAGTCCCAGGCCTGACACTGGCTCTGCTCCTCTGCATTTACAAGGTTGGAAGGAAGAAGGACACTACTGCCACCACCACACCAGTTGAGCTCCACGAAGCTCATGATTGTTAGAGGACAGGGCGAGACCCAGGAGGGGTCAGCTGCCACACATCAAGCGCAAGTGAGATCTTGAGGCCTAAAGTGGAGAAAGGTGCCCTTCTGCCCCACTTGCAGGGGAAAGGGAACATAGGCAGGGCTGCTGAGACCCACATAGAAGCCACTGCAGCAGTCATAATGGGGAAGGTGAGGCCTGGGCCACCATGGTGGGGTTGTGGATGGAGAGAAGCAGCAGAAAGTGCAGCATTGAACAGCTCTCCATAATTCACAGGTGAGCGGTGGATGGGAGGCAGAGGCCGAGATACCCTAGGTGCAGGCTTGGACAGCTCAGAAGGATGTGCGATTTCTCTGAGCCTAGGAACAAAGAAGGAAGAACAAATCTGTAGGGAAGGTGATGCAGATTCTTAGAGTTTCTGTGAGAGAACCTATAGAATCCCGAAGTTCAGATGCTGAAGTCTCAACCTCAAATATAGAATGTGACTGTGTTTGGAGATAAGGACTTTAAAGAGGTGATAAGTTAAATGAGACCACCAATGTGGACTTTTATGGCTGGTGTCCTATCAGATGAAGAGATCAGGACATGCTCAGAGAAGGTGTGTGAACAAGGAGACAGCTATCTGCAACTCAAAGAGGCTCAGAACGAACCCACCCAGGCTGCAGTGCCCCGTTAAGGCTGCTGTGCTTGGTTATGGCCACCCTGGTAACTAACCCAGGAGAGCAGAGGAAAACAAGGGGAGTGTCGTATCTCAGGGGGCCAAGAGAGGAAAGCGGTACAAGTAGGAGCTGTTCCCTGTACTTAACTGGCCCTGAGTGTGCAGAAAAGTGGAGACCAAAGCAGGCGCAATGAGAGGAAAGAATGGTCTTGGAGGTGTCCTTGGGGCACATGGTTTCCATGCACTGGGAAGTCACTGGCAAATGTGATTCTCTAGAGATTTGGTTGCAAGTTGGGCAGAGACTTGGCAATGGCTGCAGTGTGACACGGGCTAGGAAAGCACTTAGGAGGGAGACTCTGAGGCAACTAGGCAGAAGAAGCTGTGAAGAGAGAGTGGAGCAGGCCAGGAGTGAGCCTGTAGGGGTCAGGCAGACTCTGGAGCCCAAGTCAGGGATCCTTCCAGCCAGAAGAAAGGTGTCATGGGCATAAGGGTAGGTGGGTGAAGGCGGGTCGTGTGGGGTGAGGCTGTGGAGACAAGGCTGAGCTCTGCCAGGCCTGCCTGCTGAGCGAGGTGGACTTTAAGGGAGGCAGGCTCATCTGCACTTGCTCTGTCCTCCACCACTGGGGGCCACCAACAGAAAACTAGAGGATTGAGTGAGACTGGAGGATGTAGCCTTCTGTCCCTCCTGCCATCTGTGGCCTTTGCTCCACTGGGTCACAGCTCCTGTCTCGGGGCCTGTCCCAAGCAGCTATTATCTCCAGTTCTGGCCACCATTCCCAATTCTTTAGGCCCAGGCCATATGGGTACCCCATTGGTACTCGCCCTGAGGTACACCATCCTCTGTGGGTTTCAAGAATTGTTCCCTTATTAAATTCTCCTCCATTGCCCCATTTGATGACACTTTTGACTGATCAGAAAAAACCCTTCCCTTCTAAAGCTGTCTTTTTTCTTTCTGAAGATTGAAGGGGAAGAGAGCTTTCGGGAGAATGGTGATGGTCAGAGACCTTGCCTATGGAGAGCTGGGGGGACCTTGCAATGGAGACTGAGCCCCAGACACTGAAGGAGGCCATCCCACATGCTTGCCTGATGTTTGCACAGACTGACTGCAAGGGCAGATATGGTCCAAGCAAGCATGAGACTTTGCCAGGAAAGTACAATTAAGGAGTAGGGGGACATGTTGGGGACTAGAGAGGACCATGGCTAGGGGGCTTGGAAGGCCCAACATGATCAAAGGGGGCACAATGAGCAGGCCAATGGGAATGGTTTGTGATCTGATAGGAAAGGACTTTGTGACAATAGAGAAGGCCCATTCAGAGCTGACAAACTCTGAGAATGGGGTGTGACAGAAAGCCTGGGGTGCTGGTCAGGAAGATCGTAAGCTGGTGGCTTGGACAACTGAGGGGCTGTGCCTGGGATGTGCAGCCACACATTGCACACGTGCACAACACACATGCACAGCCGCACGCCCACACCCACCCACACAGTCACACTTTTGCGCACGCCCACAGCCCGCCCAGACACTCCAAACACCCTCACATGCACTCACCCTCACACGAACCCCAGACAGCAGATGGGGCGCTCGGGTAATTGGTTAAACCTGTTCCCGATGTCTGGCTCCGCCTTGGCAGCGCCGTCTGACAGGAAAGCTGGCTGGGCCTGCACCACTCAGCCTGTTGGCCTCCCCACCCCCTCTCCCTGCAAGACTGCCCTAGAGCAGGGTCCAGGGGAAGCCTGTGGGCCCTGCGGGCTCCCTCCTGGACAGAGCCAAGTTCACTTGGCAAAGGCCACGCTATGTCCTGTGGGAAACAATCCCCACACCTGCAAGGAGGTGGCACACAGATGCAGAGATGCTAAGAGTGCGGCTTGTGCTGCTGCACAGGCCACAGGGACCAATCCCGGAAAGTTTCATGGATGAGAAGATGTGTAAAAACTGTTGTTCCCTGAAGGCAAGGCCTGTGACTTCAGCCACAAGAGTTAAGAATAATTCCCTGGCTCTCTCCACCTCAGGCTCATGCACCTCAGAGCTCTTCTTACAAGGGCTCATGGTAGGCAGCCCTTCACTCTGCAGGGCCAGGAGGCCAGCCCAGCTGAGGGGCGGCGGCTGACCAGGCTCCTCAGACAAGGCCTGGTGGCAGCTCCCTTGCACTGGGGAAGCCAGCAGGCCAATGTCCACAGCCACCCTGCCCTGTGCCTTCCTGCTCTCCAGGTGGGAGGAACTACCGGGGAGGGAAGGGAGCAGCAGTCGCAGTCTTCTCCCCTTCTCAGCTGCATCTGCGTCTCTTCAAGAGAGACTTTGGTTTGTTCCCTGGAGAGGGCCCAAAAACTCCCAAA